ATGAAAGTGTGGCAATTAGCCTCGAATGCAGTCGCATATCTTACTAATTACCAACAATTTCGACATCGGCCTAAAGAAGCGCTCGAGCAAGCAAAAAGAGCAATTTGGAATAAGACTTTAGTCCAGGCAGATGTTTCGTATTTCGTTTGAGTAAATCGGCGAGATGCCGAGGTTCGGATGGATAAAGAAAAAATGAAATAAACATCGAGTGAGTCGCGAGGGGGGAGGGGGGGAAGGCGACATGGACGTGGCCGAGGTTGGGGAGATAGTGGCGAAAGAAATATTTTCAAAAAACGAGCGCTGCATCGAAATAGGGATAGCGTCCGTCGCCATATCGCATTGATTCGACCAAAGTCTCGCAAATACGATTTAGGAGGCGGGGCTGCAATGTCTAATTCTTATGGTCGCCGACGTCGAGAGGTAGGCTCGGGGTTCGGTCCCCATCGGCCGATCGGCCTCGAGCGCAAGAGCCCCGAGGCATCTCGTGAGCACGCGCCCATACCCCGGTCGCGGTTTATATTAATCCGCAGACGCCGGCGTCGGGGCCACGGGCGTTCGGCTCTCGTTCCCCTGGCGAACGCGGCCCATTTGGAGCCGTCCGGGCCGCGCTTTTTGCGCACTCGCGCTCCGTGGCGGGGAGTCGGCTCGCTGCTTTTTCCGTGGCGGTGACGGCGGCCGCCAACCGCGAGCCCGGATCGACTTTCCTTTCGGCTTTACGCTCGGTGATCGCGTGCGCGCGCGCCCACACTACACCAAGGAATTACCCGTAATTTCCACTGATTGCTTCGCCGCGGCGTAAGGAAGTGCCAAAGCGTCTGCTTGCTTATCTCTCGATCTCGATCGACCGCTCAGCATCATCCGTCCGATCGCTCGAATCGTACGATCGACGTACGGAGCCACCTGTTCTCCATAGAGACTCCGTCCCTCAACATTCCCGTAAATCGACGTCTATTATCATTTCATTAGCTCTGACGGTGAGGCCAGTATTTTTATTGTACAGCCCCCCCCCCCACACAAACACAAACACCACTTCCCGATCAATGAATTATTTAACGAGACGGATTTATCGAGCTGGACTATATATTGTTGATAATGTACTCGCTACTGTGGCAGCGGGTACTTTATCCCTAGAAGAATTGTATTCGCATCGAGGACAGGTCATGCTGCAAAACTTTAGTAAGGATAAATAGATAATTCTATTGGGTAACCGTACGTCAGAGAATACGTCAGTGATGAAAGTATAATTGAATTACTGGAGTGCATTTAATAAAGGGAAGACGTCATGATTCTAGGTCTATTCGGTTGAAAGTCAAGTGTTAGCCTGTGCAATTCTAATTTTTATCCGTCGCTGTTGTAAAAAATTATAGTCGATTTCGTACGCTAACTCGCGATCTTTATCGCTCTACTACAGTGCATTAACCCTCTCAAGCGGTGGCTCGTATTCCTGTCTTCAGCTTATTTCAAAACGTGTTTTTGAAAGCTTTCGAGGTCAGACATTATAAAATAATAGCAAAATTTTACATGATTAAACGTTGAATATATTCTTCAAAGGTTGACTCTCTCTCTCTCTCTCTCTCTCTCTCACTCTCTCTCTCTCTCGACATTTCTCAAATTTACATTAGAAAATTGGCACTCAACATTCGGACGCTTTACGTAAAAAGTAATTTACTTCTTAGAGAAACGGTCGAAGTACGCGTCGCTACGCCAGTCGGACCTCGCAACATTGTCCTTCCTCCCTGCCCCATCTGCTCAACACACAAGAAATGAATTCGCATGCGTGCAGACTCTTAGGCGGAGTTAGACAATATAAGATAATGGCTGGCTAACGATGCTACGACTGCTACGAGAAGCAAAAGTTCGTGCTGCGCGTGAAAAGTGCGAGGTGTAATCGAGTCGCGCTCGGTTGTCCCGACGCACGTAGCAACGCCAGATCTAAAATAAGAAAGAGAAGGTGGCGCGGGAAAAGAGAGCGCGAGGAGTTGGAAGTTACCAGGTGATGACCGAGACTAACGTTCACCCACTTTGATGCCAACAGAGCCGGAGACCGTCGAGCTCCGTTCGCTCGAGGATGCTGTCTTACATGCTGCCGACGGAGGAGAAGCCCCCGGCGGGCAATCACCAGGGCTTCCGGAGCAGCGGCGTGGCCATTGGCGGCGTCGGCGGCAGCGGTGGAGGCACCAACACCAGCAGCAGCAGCAGCAGCAGTGGGGCCGGCGGTGGCGGGGGCCTGGCCGCCAGGTACCAGAGCGGTGGCCTGGCTCGCGCGGGCCATCCGGCTGAGCAGCACCGCGTACCGAGGTCAACGAGCGGCGGCATCTTCGCGAGGCGCGAGTCCGAGATCGGGCCCCTCCCGGCTAGACCTGGCTCCGCTGCCCCGCTCCTGCCTCCCTCCGACCACAGCCCCAAGCACAACGGCACCGCCATTCGCAAGTCTACCCTTCATACGGCCAAGGTCGTTAAGGACGACAGCCTCTACAGTATCGACAGTGACGCTAGCGGTGCCGGCAGCGATCGTCGGGGTCGCATGCTCAACGGGCCCAAGCACGCCAATCTCAAAAGGTCCTTCATCTCCCGTGACGTGGGCCGAGCCCCGTCAGCCGTCCTTCTGACGGACGCTTCCCCGCGTATTCGCCTCGATAGGCCAGGGAGTCGCGACTGCCTTTACTCCCTCTCCTTGCCACCAAGCTCAACGAGTGCGTTCGTTACTACCTCGGCACCTCGACTGCGACTCGCCATGCGACACTCGGCTACCCACGTTCTTCCAGTCAACACTCTGCTATCTGAGAATTATCCGTGCTCGCAGTTCTCCTCCAATATTGACCGATGGACCTTAGTATCGTTGGCCCGCGAGATTACTACTCGCCGCTAACGTTGTCCTTCCAACCTAAAAATCGCTTTGCCTTTGCAACAAAAAAAAACCCGGCGATACGCTATTCGATCGGTAAATCAACGGGTAAACTTAAAAACGCGCGCGCCTAAGTCGTAATGATTTTGTGTGGGGCTGAGTTGGTGGGGATTGCCGCGACGGCAACGATTATTGTAAATATTCCGATGGCAGTCCTAGGCGATGATTCCCGAGCTCGGGTATAGGCAGGATTCCGGTTGCCTTCACACGACGATGACGCATCCATCATCTCGCGCCAACGATCACGTGATCGCGGCTTTACGCGAGCTCGCCGTTACGCCCGACAGGTGTCAGCACCATTGCCTTTATCGCGTTCGAGTTGCGCACCGTCGCTATCCGCAAGACCTCCTCGACTCGTCCAAGCTGACCCGAGCCCATCGTCTTCCGTTCTCCCCCTCGATCTTTCGCCGGCGATTACCGAGCACCTCGTTTAATCGTCGCCGTCTCTCTTTCATTCATTACAAGTCCTTCGACTACATGACTTTTAAGAAAGAAAAAAAAAACATATATATATATATATATATATATCCGATTTGTCCTCGCGCAGGAGTCGCCATACTTTTATTTCGGACTCTCTTATCACCGAGTATACCCCGGCATCCCGGCGTCGTTTGTTCATGCAAAATCGCCGCGATACTTTGCGCGGCGAGACTTTTGATGATAATAACGTAGAGTAATAACGAAAGAAAGGCCAAGAGGCGAGTTCGGAGGCTAGAAAATGTCGCCAAGTCCAAGTCGACAAAATCCCGGGTAAACTCGGTATCGCTGATTTATCTCACGAGTTGCTCACATCGCGTAAAGCGGTAAACGCACGAGGATCGTCGACAATCGGAGGTTTCGCTTCTACGTTGGCAGTAAGGACGGTTCATCGGGCACACGCGGAGATCCTTGAAATTTGTCGTCTCCTTTCTTTATAAGCGCTCGATAACTTTCTCCCCATGCTTGCTTATTTAAGTCGGCGACGAATTTAAAGCTTCCGCCTATCAACCGAGGATCCTCTATGTTTGGCTGTTTGGCACTGACTCCTACACTCCGTCGCCGCGGAAATAGAGGGAGGGAAGGAGAGAGAGAGAGAGAGAGAGAGAGAGAGAGAGAGAGAGAGAGAGAGAGAGAGAGACCACAAGACGACTGTCTAGACTGAGCGATCGAATCGCGTTGATCGACTCTCTTCTCGCATCTCTTCGGCGGTTTAGCGGTCGACGACCGTCGTGAGGTGGTTAGGCGCGGTACGAAGTAGAGCTTTATCGTCTGGCCCGAGGATTATTGTAGGGCCTGCGTTCCTTTAGCATTTCGTCTTGTAGGGTCGACGGATCTTTGCCTGATACGATCAGCCAACGGCTCGGCCCTCTTCTCTTCGTCGCGAATTCTCGAGTCTTCGCGAGTCGAGCTGAGTACTCAAATCGCGGAGCATGATAAATTTGGAAAATTCGATGAGAAATCGATGACGCAGATTAATTGGAACGATGGGCGTCGGTAGTGAATGAACGCTGGGTGTTATGAAGGTTAATGGAGATGTTGGATGACATTGTTTGGCTACTGAAACGAGCATTTATTTTAGTGCGAACGCGACTCTGGATGATGACTCACATTTATAAACTATTCTAACAGCCGATTGATGTTTTCGTTATTCTTTTTTTTTCTTTCTTTCTTTCTCTTTCGTTTTTTAATGTGTATCCGTAAAAGCCGGATATATTTAGCGAGCGAACAGAAATTCAAAATTGAATTAGCAGTGATCAGCGGTGGGCAGTCGCGCTCTCGGTTTCCTTCTTCCCCGAGCCTCGGAATTTTAACTCACACTCCCATTTCTCGTTTCAGAGTGTCGTTTGGCTCGAGCAAGGGCTCCATGGTCGAGACGCTGGTTTACGAGACGCCCGTTCAGGAGGAGCCGGAGAACAATCATTTCGTGGAGCAGAATGGCCGTGTGCCGTGTCCGTTGTCGTCAGTCCCCGATACCGAGTAAGTTTTTCGTGCCACGTGCACCAAACACCAAGCGGAAGTGGCGCAGAACAGGCGAATGGACAATAGACGAATTAGGTCAGGACGTGGAGCGGGCACGCGAGCCAGATCCTCGCCAGAAGCACCTATTGCACGCGTATCTCCAAGTAACGACGATAAATATGCTCGCGATGTGATTATGCGCGGCCGCACCTACATCGACATTACCGGGAAGAACGGGGGAGACTAGGCAACTTTGATCTCCGATACCTAGTTCTCAGGGGCCGCCTGATCAATCACTTGATCGCCGGTAGAAAGCTGCCGTGAGTGTAGCAGAGCCGGGGCTGGAAAAAGTGCCCGAATCGATGAACATACCTGTCATGGCTATTAAATAAAACCCTCGACCTCCTCCTCCATCCCTGCACACGTGACGGCCTCGAATTATCAAAGTTATCGGCGTTTCTCTTCCTTGTCGCAGACTTACGTAGACGAACGTTCGCCTTCAGGCGCCCCGGAGATATCACTGTCAATTAGTCGCAGATACCGGGAATCCACCTCCTTGCTCCAAAGCAAAACTACCATCTAAGCTAATAATAAGCTCCGTAGAATCGAATACGCGCGACCAGCGACTTAAATCTCCCATCTCTCAAGCGTCACTCGTGCGAGATATTTATTTTTTTTTATTTTTTATTTTTTTCCTTAATACTACGATGAGCCAATACTCCCAGTGGAGAATCCGACCGAATTCACTAAAGCTTTCATCGGTCATTGGATTTTCCAAGGATGCCGAGAGGACGAAAGGACTGGCAAGCGGCTTCGCGCGGATACTCGCGATCGCCCTTATCAGCTCGTTAATTATGCTCATTAGCTTCATTAGTCGAGCAATCATAAATAATTTCCTGTGCGCGCCTCGGCGTAGGCAGGCGCGCGCCGACCACAGCAGGACCGAGACAATAGGAGCCCGTTGCCGCGTCCAACGGATCGCAATTACCGCTGCGTCCCGTCATCGTCGTCTGACGACGACGGGCGGAATAGCCGTAGCCAGGGTGACGTCTGACGACGACGTGGACAAAAGCGCAACAGCCTTCGTGTTCCCGTGAGCCCATTGACTAATTATTAACGAGCCGCTATTAATCGCGCCACGAGGCTCTTTATCGAGAGGAGGTCGGCCGGCTGTTGCGTCAGATTGGAGTTTCGACGACATTGGCCAAAACTGCGCAGTTCGCTCGTAATTACCGGAGTTTGCGGCCAATCGCTTCGAGTCGGTAGAAGTCCAGAGGGGGGTGGGGGGTCAGAGTCATAAAAGTCGTGGTCTCTTTTCGCAAGCTTCTTTTGCAAGCTTGTCGTTTGAAGAACCGTCGGCGCGATCACGGTGTCGTTATCTCCGGTGAGACTGGAGAGGAAACGACATGAGACGACATGAGATATGGTTAATAAACCAAATCGTCGTCCTTCTTCTGCACCCAATGATTATGTAGATAATTGATTAATTAATAGTCATAGAGTATATGAGGTAGTTCTATAAATGTCGCTCGCTCGGCACGCCGTTGGTTAAACGAAAACCGATGCTCGTTTAGATGAAGCAGCTACACGCGCTACTTTTCGGGGGAACGTTCAATTATGCTTTAAGGCAGATAATGTAATCGCTATCGTCACTACGAATTGCTATTACAAGGCAGATATAGGCCAAGCGTGAAGACATAGAGTCATAGAGGAAAAAGTGCGAGTGAAAAAATTGGGTGGCGGAAGGGGATAGCCGAACGGGCCAGGACACCGCGCTCGTACGAGGAGTTGACCCAGTCCAAGCTCGTCGATACTCCGGTCGCGCGCTACGAGACGATTGCCTCCTCTGGTTCATAGGCTCGGGACTCGACACAGGCTCCCGCGCGCTCCCCTCGGCTGCTGGCGCACATGCGCGACTCTACTTTGCGGGCTCGACGAGGGATGGCGGCAGAGTCAGAGGAGCCGGCACGGCGCTGCTCCGTGGCCAGCAGTCGAACGAAGCCGGGTAAGCGGCTGTCGCTGAGGCTGTGAGGTTGCGGTGACGGTGGCGGCAGCAACGGCGACAGCGGCGGCGGCTCTGGCGGCGGTAAACGCGCCGACGAGTGATTCCTCGTGCCTTTTCGTCCCGCACCCGCGGGACGCCCGGGAGGTGTGCGCGGGGGAGGGGCGCCGACGAGCGCGACGTCTCGCGTCGGCCCGATCGGACGTTTCGGTCAGTCCAGCAGTGGCGCGAGCTTTTTCGGCGCGGTACTCGATAGTCGCCGCGTAACCCCGGAGGTCCCAGCACGCGCCACCGACGTGGCAGAAAGGCACGAGGCGACGCGAGCGTCTGCGCCGAGGAGCTCCGTGTCCGAGGACCCCTGCGCCTCCCAGTGCCTGCGTGAGTGCGCGCGTACGTGCGTGCGTGCGTGCGTGCGTGCGCGCGTGCGTGGGTTCCTTGGTGCGTGTGTTGTGTGAATCGATTGGCCTGGTGAAGCGCGACCTGCGGCCAAGAGGACCTTTAACGAGCCGACGCTTGCCAGGTAACGAAAGCTGGGCCCGAAGCACCGTCACCAGCAGCGGCTTTCATTATAATATTCGAGGACGATCGCGCGGGCCCATACCGAGACGATGATAAGCCTCGCCGGTCCTAGGCCTGATTTAAGTGCCGGGAGGTTACGGTCGACGGTAGGCTTATACTTCCTTGCTTTGTCCGTTGGTCGTTTAGGAGCGACCGACCATGCCGTGGACCAGCTACGGCCAAATCCGTTTGCTCCGTTTTTCTTGAGCTCTGGCCTCGTTTAAAAATCCTTATTTCGAATCGAAGGCGATCGACCCGATCATCCGGTATCGGCGATGGAGAGACACGTAGCCAGCCGCGTGCCAGCAATATTATTCAACGAAGCTAAATAAAGATTAAAGGATTCCATTGTAATCGGAGATGATCTAGAATGCCTGCCTCCAAGCCTCCCAAGCCTCCCAGCTTCCGTGCCTCCTGCCTGAGTTATCCATTGGCTAACGTGTAAATAGCACCGATGCTGCAAACAGGCGCTAATGCAAAATCTTTCTCGGCTCCCAATCACTATGATCCAAAAAGCTCTGATTTCCAAGCGTTGCCATGGAGACACGCCATCTTGACACACTGTAGCTATGCACACTGGAAGTCCAAAGATTCGTCCGCTCGATTTCCCTTGGTTTGCCTTTTTGGAATCGTCCTACCTTACTCCCGTCCTCCATCCAATCACTCGTCCATCCATGCATCCATCCATCCACCCACTCGTTCACCCGTCCATTTCTACTCTACCGCTTCCCCGTACCCCCATCCCCCCCCCTCCCGCGCCCCACACCATGATACTCAACACCGACCCTGGCCTCCCCCTCCAACTACATCACGTTTAAAAATTTAGTTGAGCTTAGCTGCCTAATCGTCGTCGTCTCTTGTTACTTAATTATAAAGCGGAAATTTAGCCGTTCTGCTATGAATGTGAGATTGCGCTTTTGATAGCTCGTGTCGATCAATCAAGCCAGTCAACGTTTATTTTAAAATGTATAGGATCTTACGAACGATTGTTACAATGCTCGGCGCTTACACGTATAAGCGCAGATCGCCCCCTTCGAATTCGGAGCGAAATGTAACTCCGATTCTTTCTTCTCGCACGATCGCGTAAATAGAAAATGATATGCCGCCTGAGAGGTAATAGATGATAAAATAGAATAAAAAACTTACCGAAGACTATTTACCGGTTCTACTATCTCAATTTCTCACCGAACAAATTCGACTTTTTGGCTCATTACATTCATTCATCCTTTTGGAACTCGTTCATATCTAGAGCCAGGAGATAGCTTGACCATTCTTCCCCCCCCCCTCCATACCCCCAACACAGTCGACTTTTTGTCTTCCCCCACAGCCCCGACGCCATCTCGTTTTAGCAATACACAGGCACACATACACAGAAAGAGAGAGGATGATTTCTACGATTAAGATGCTTTGTAAACGAAAGTCTATGTTACCATTATTAAACAGCTGGTCTGTTCTAATTAAAAATTCGTTCCGTCATCAGTTCCCGCTCTTCTCAGCAAGAGTTTTGCATCAGTTACACGCATAATAAGTAAATAATATTTTGTAAATGTTATATCGCACAAACACAATAATAGATGAAAAATGCTTTTCACAATTAATTGATATTAATTATGTCTCTTGTGATTAATTGCTAGTTTCGGTCTTAATTTACGGAAATTTGCTGCATGTATAATGCATTTGTGGATGAAAAATACTTGACAATGAGCTTCAGCTAAACAAACGAATCGAGAGATGGAGAGAGATGGAGAGAGATGGAGAGAGATGGAGAGAGAGAGAGAGAGAGCTAAGTATCAGAAAAAAAATTGCAAATGCTTGATTGTAGATGTAGAACCAGATGCGTCTCGAGTCAAATTGTCCGTAGATAAAGACATTAGTACGGTACTTAATTCAACCATTAGGCTCGAGAAGCTTCCAAGATAAATAGATATATAGACAAATAGGATAGAAAGAGAGAGATAGAGAAAAAAAAACAATATGGGAGGACGGTAGGAAGGAAGAAGAAGGAGTAGTAGGGGGGCTAATGCGTTAAATTAATGAGACTAGAGTAAGGATTATTAATGGCGTTCTTGAGAAAAGTAAGTAAGGCGCAATGTTTAAGAAGAAAAAAGTTGAGGTCCATTCCTCCCTTGCTGCAAGTGGATGCCAAAGTGCACGAGTAGGCTCCAAGTGCTTTCCCATTGAAATTCGTTGTGGGCTGATATGATGGCCGCAATGAGCGGAGAGGGGGATGGAGGGGGCTTGGGGGGGGGGGGGCGGGCTCAG